AGCTCCGAGTACAAGGGTGAAGTGAAAATAAAGTGTGAATAATGGTCTTTCTCTCAGAGGCAATGTGATGTTGCACTGAGCTGAAAAATTTACTCTCCTACAGATCGGCCCTGCCAATATGAGGGACTGATTGATGCTGAGCACGATCCAGCTGATATCTGGTGTTGGGGTGGGGGAGGGCCCTTCAGTGTTGCTGACAAAGCTCTAACGAGATCCAGGGACTGGAAGCTGAAGGTAGGCAGATTCAACCTCGCAATAAAATGCCAGTTGTGAGCATGATAAAATATGATAGCAGTTTATTGGAGCTCGTGATGGATTCATCGTTAAGAAGTCTTTAGTGTTTTCTTTTAAAATCAGTCTTCAGTTTCTGGGAGGAATTCTGTGGCCAGTCTGTGAGCTGGAGGATCATGATGATTGCTTTTAGTTTTGTAATTGAAGCGCGCTTGTTAACGTCCCTGCTTCGCTGTGCTGTAAGGAGAACACGTTTACCAGAATTGCCCTTAACAATTCTCAGAGCACACGCAGATCTGCACAGAGATAACCGTTCTAATTAAATCCTGTCCTCTAGGGCTACACAGGATTGCCCACAGCGATGGGAGGAATCATGTGCTTTCCTTCCTTTCTCCTTCTTTTCCCCCATATTTGTTTGGGTTGGATCTCGAGGGCTTGTTTTGTAAGGGTTTTTCTTTTTCACCTTCTTTTTCTTTACTACAGCATGGGAGCAGCTCAGCTGATGGGATGTAGCTCAGGAGATAGATCTCCCGCGATCGCAGCTGCCTTTGGCAGTGGTGAGAGGCGTCAGGCTCTCCCACCTCCACCACTCAGCAGTTCGTTCACCTCTGCTGTATTCAACAACGTGCGCTCTTGAGGGCTGGAATGATGTTTTGGTGTAATGGAAGCCTTTGGGCTTCATATAGGGACGTCTGGATGGAGCTTAATGATATGGGGTATACAAGAAGTCATGTTAGTCACGGGACCTGATTCCCTCCTGATCTGAAACTCTTTAAAATAAAGGAAATGAGAGGTTGCTGAATAAAAGAGCACTCTGCACATCTCACGGGATCGGGCTCCCTGTTCCTTCGCTGTCTGAAAAGCAGACAGTCCCCACCTAGTGACTTCTCAGGTCAGGGAGGATCCTCCTGAACAGTGTCCTCACCTGCAGGCCCCGTGAGGAGTGCCGGGGGTGTCTGAACATTGCCACCCCAGATGGAATGTGTCTGCTGCTGTGGGTGCTGAGGAAACCGAAGACCAACACAGGCTTGTGAAATCGTTCTGCTGAAGAAGCAGCGCTCTCTTCTCCTGCGTGTAGAACCCTGGTGGCATTACGTTCTGTTGTGACAGCTGTCAGAAGTGACATGAAAGCTCTCTGGGGAGAGGAGGGCTGAGCTGCAGAATTGTACTTTGCAGCACTCGCCAACGGCTGCAGTTTTCAGTTGGTAACCTGCATGCTGTCTGTTAGTCTTCCTCTTTTCTCCTCTTTTGCTAAACTTTTGTGCTTTTTATTTCTGTGGCTCTTGCAATGGGGACCGGTGCCATCCAACCTGTGCGACTTTCAGCAGAAAATGCCTCTTCGATACCTTGCGTGTGAAATGCAGTCCATGCCCTGCCCTAGTTTGTCTCCAGTTTTTCTTTGGTGACTGTCAACTTCCAGACTTCTGCTGGTGCCACTGTCCTCTTGTCACCTCCAAAATCTGAGCTGCATCTTTGCCGTGAGGAGAAATAATTAATGCTAGCTCTTTCCTTCATGTTTTTCTTCCCAGCTGGCACCGTTTTTTCTCACCGATAGCTGTAGCCATTTGGTTTTTAATGTGAAATTCTGATAAAGACCTTTCACTTCCCTGTTTCTGAAGTGCTTACGCGTGGTGTTTGTGTTGGAGGGGGGAAGGTCCGTGGGTGCGGGAGCACTGCGGGGGGAAGCGGCTGCCGCTGCTGGTTTCAGCCCGGGGTCCGGGCGTGCACGCAGGCTGTAGAAGTAAGCGTTATTTGAACTGTAACTTATGTTAGCTTTCGCTCAGGAGCACCTGAAACTTCTTTTGCCAACCCTTTTTTCGATTCCACAAGTGCAAATAAATCACAGCGTCAGCTGGACGCGCCGGGGCGGTGGCTGCGGAGGCGGCCGTAGCTCCTTTGTATCACACGGTGGCAGAAAGCGCCCGGCCTGTCTTCCCATGCTGGGGAATCGTGCCAGCCACTTCCCCGCGCAGGGCTTTGTGGAGAAGACATTCCTCTGGAAAACGAAGCCTCTTTGATGTCTGTGCAGGAAGAGCTGATTTCATGGCAAAGGAATAGGTCTTCGTCCCCAACTTGCAGAGTGTGTATGAAGGGTGTGTGCAGGATTCACTGAGGCATTGCGTCTGACCATCAATATATATATATGTAATAGTGTAGAAAAGATAATTATATAGCTGGAATATATATAGGCATTAAGTTTTAATTAGGCTTTTGGTTAAAAAGAAAAGTGCAATTAAGAGTGACAGATACAGTAGATCCTGGTAGACTGCGTGACAGTTTTTGGCTAGAAGAACTCCTTAGCCGTCATAATGAATTTTAACTGTATTTTGCCAAGCTTCTCAGACCTTCTTTTCTGAATAATGATACTATATCTGTGAACGTGTCTCTGAGCACATGAGGATGAGCAATTTGTTAAAGGCTTACATATGAGAGCCTTGTATAACATAGGAGGGAAAGGGTACTGTTATGAAAATATAAAAGCAGAGATTACACGATCTGCTTGTGTAACTGACACTGATTCAGACGTGAACAAGTTGTTTTTAGCATTGTGTCTCCTGTTGCACTGAGCTGTTGTTTAGGTTGTAAGTCTCAGTTTTATGAATGCTTAGGCCAAGATGGATTTAAACCAATCCTCTGACCACTGCTTCTGAAAATCAGGCCATTAATTATGGATATGAAGCTAGTTTACTCTCTTAAACATCTTGGCCAGGGTATTTGTCTGGTAGCTTAACTAAATAAATCAAGTAATGATTACATAAAGTGGTTGGATAGAGAAAAAAGAGAAAACAACCCTTCAGTTACTGTCCGTGTATCTTGAATGCAGTAGTCATAGTTTAGCGTAGTTTTGCATCATTTCATGGCGGATCTGTGTGGCCTTTCCATCATCACCCCCGAAGCTGTGAGCCAAACACGGCGGCTTCCTGGCTTCGTCACGAGTCTGCGGCAGGACCTTCGGCGAACCCTTCTCTTTGCTCTGCTTCTTTGGCTCCGTTTCCTCTTCCGCTGCCCATTTACCTGGACTGCTGACAACGTAGACGCTCCCGAGCAGGGCTGTGCCTGTAACGCACATTTGCACTGCTCGTAGGTGGTGGGGTCCTGTTGGCAACTGAGGGCTGAGGCACCGAAACACGAAGAGCTGGCGATAGGTGTGTTGCTGTGCTTAATACTCACACATGGGGACGGATCACAGAATCCCAGCATGGCAGGGGTTGGCAGGGCCCTCTGTGGGTCACCCA